CAATGTACCCATTTCGCCATCTGCTTGTCCCTTATTTATTTTTTTAATTTGACCAGAGAGAGAAAAAGAGATGGGGGAAAGTGAGAAAGCAAGCAGCCAGGTCCACGTCTTGAACCATAGTTGGACATGTGAAAGTCTAGCACCTTAACCACCATGCCATCTACTGGTCCACAATCAACTACTCTTACCAACAGTGACCTAGTGGGCTAGTAAACAGGGAAAAAAGGTGATACCATGTAAAAATTAGAAATGTTGGGACCAGCAGGTGGCGTGGTGGTTAAGGCGCTGGACACTCCCATAGGGCCTAGGTTAGCTGCAGGCACCGTGAACTAATTACATGGCTGTGCTTTACCCACCAGACATTTGGTTAACCACAGGGCATCTTTGGATACTCCTGGGGCACTCCTGCCCTGACATTGTTCAGGTGAAGCAAAGGCCATAGGAATCAGAATAGAAATTAGAATCTTGATTATCTTCTTTTCTAAATTTTTATTTTCAGACACAAAGGGAAATAGATATAAATGTATGCTTAAAGGACATGACAGCGTGTATAAATAGAAACTGCTAGGAGTACTACTAAATAATTGAATGCCAACTTCAATAGCCATCTTTTCCCTCAGGGAAGGAAAGAAGCTGAGGGGTCGAGGGGGAGTGAGCATGTGCTTCAGAGAGCGCTGAGAGATTCAGAATCAGGAGAACCCCAGTGGCTTGGACAAGCTCAGTGCTTTCGGAACTGCTGTGTGATTAGTGTAGACACCGAGACATGTGGTCACAGTGGGGAATTAATTACCTGTAGGAAACCACCTCATGCCCGTGACCTGGATTCCTAACGGGGCTGTATGCTGGGCACTTCCCTCACCATGAGCCCTCCAGATGGCACCCTGCAACAACGTTCTCTTTCTCTGCACTGGTGCCAGTGGGGAGAAGTTAGGATTCTCAAACCCTTAACATGTATCAGTATTTGTTTTAGCAATCAGACTTTCTGCCAGATAATCAGCATCTCCAAATGGCCTCTACTGGCCCCTTCTTGAGCTCTTGTTCTTCCTGTTATTTAAGCCAGAATACCAGTCACTTTCATCACAGGAACACTCCACAAACCCAGATTATCTATGTATTCTTGATTCCAGTGATTGTAGTGGATTTAATTAAAAAAAAAAACAAATTGATAGAACTTTCAATAATGAGGCAATTAAAGGGCTTTCTAGTTCCCAATCATGAGTATAAATGTCATGGTAATGTTATTTAAGTGTTTTGACTGAACCCAGAAAAACACTGTCAACCAAGAATGATACTGAAAGCTGAGATACAATAACACCTAACTGCAGTTGGGGCAATACACCAAACCAAGTGACATTAAAACCCCAAGTTCACAATTCAGCTGGACAGCATTTGCCGAAGTTACGGATCACATGCGTGACTAACCGATAGTGTGACAATGTTCCCATCTGTCTTTCCTGTGCATATGACCCACAGGACCAGAGCCACCCCTGAGGTGAGCGGCGGGATGTTTAGAACCTGGGATACACTGTACAGGAGTGATCAAAGGAATCTACTTCTCAATATCATGCTGACTGCAGCAGCCAACTGTCATGGCAGGATGAGAGAGTACTCTTAGCAATGAGCAAATGCAGTGAAGGACGCAGATTCTAGAAAACAGGCCTTTGAGCATATGTTAGTAATAATGACTAATGAGTTTCATTTATCTTAGAGAAAGTTTATTGGGCAACGTGTCTTAAGAAAAACAGTGCCAAATAAAATGCATTCAGTTTCTGAGAGGCGGTGGAAGCTCACTCTGGTCTTGGATGCTATGCATTTGAGCAGGTACTAGCTGTGGTAGCAGGAGTTAAAGGGCAATACTTTCCATCTTCCAAGACTACTAAGGGAATATGTCATTAAAGTAAAAAACAAAAACAACAAGCTCTCTCCTACAGCACTCTCGTTTTGGCCATCTCCTGCTCGGCTGCCGTTCTAATTGGACTTGAAGTGCTGCCTCCAGGAAAGTGACTCAAGAACCAGCTGGAGCAGAATGCAAATGAGCTGGTGGGGGAGGGAGCCCAGGGGAGAGAAGAGGATAGAAGAAGAAAAACAAAATTAAGGAGGAAAGGAGAAGAGGGGAACAGAGACCCACCTGAGGGTAGCCTACCACATTTTTAATAAGAGCAGGTCCAAGTATATCACTGTGTTTTCATTTCCAAACGCTGCCTGTGACCCTAGTAAGGGGCAAGGAACACACTACTCATATACAAGTCTCTTTAAGCTCACCTGTAAACAAAAACATCAAAATGTACAGGTGCCTAAGAATGAAGCTGAAATAAAAATGCAAAAAAGCAGGAAGAGCCGTATTGATGGTAACATTCAATTTTCCCTTTTCAGGCTGTGAAGACCTAAGAGGCAAAGGAAGCAGTTCTACAGTGGTCTTGTGGCCTCAAGCATATCATTTGCAGATGAAAATGACTAACTGCTGGATCAATTAAAATGCAAACAGCCTGGCTCTGGAAAGCTTCAGGTTGCTACCTGCTCCCCTCTGTAGCCTGTCGGGTCTGAGGGAGCAACTGATGACCATTACCCTCCTGTGAGCAGTCCACCCAGGTCCTTCCTGCAGCACAGGAATAATGAGCCAAGACGCTGAGCCAAGACGTGCTCTCGGACACACACAGGAATAAACAGTAACATTTATCTTCATAAGCTGGGAGGATCTGGTCAACCATTATGAAGAATCCATTTAAGTAACTATTTAGACGAGAAAAACCAACAGTTTTGAAAGACTTAAAAAAATGATTCTACTCTTGACATGCTATATAAATAATAATCATCTGTTTCTTTTTAATTTGCCGGGAGATGTGTGCAATTCACTAGGAAGAGAGAAAAAAAGAGAAAGAGAAAGCGCCTCATTCCCATGGGGGATGGTCATACCCCCATCCCTTCTCTTCCAATTCTCCCTTCTTTTGGGGTTTTGGGATTTGGGGCAGTCACAGACATGCACCCTGTGTGCTTCTCAAACTGCCGCATAGGATACTTGAACCGTGCAGTTTGCCATGTGGGGTCCAGTCATCTTAACCACCATGTCACTGGCTGGCCCCATCTCTGTTTCTGAATGTTTTAATGAAAATATATGTTTGGATAATAATGTGAGATTGTCTTATTCAGGAATAGATCCTGTATTGCTAGTTATATCAATACTTAATAAATAAGTGAATTTTAGAAGATAGGTATGTTCAGGATAGTTCTTCTTCGTCTCTGATACTATTAAAATGCTCTAAAAAACCTAAAGGAAAAATGCTCTAAGAAACCTAAAGAAAAAAATCATTTTAAAGAGCTGATTAAAATTCTGCCATTTTAATGTAACTCTACCTCACACATATCAGAGACCTTGGAATGATTTCAAAGCTAGCTACAGGCAAGAAATGTACTCTACTCAGTGGAAGGAGACCAAACCATCAGACTCTATACTTCTCTGGCCCACCATCCCTCTAGGTGAGTTTAGAAGCACTATCCTGGTGGGCTGGCAGGTGGCACAGTTGTTGGGATGCTGGCTTACACATGACCAACAGTGTTGAGTTCAAGTCTCAGATTTGGCAGTTTGGTTTTTCTGTCTGACTCTTTCTGTGGTCAAATTTAAAAATTAATTAATCAATTAATCTAATTAAATTAATAATTCATTAAAAATAATTCTTAAAAAAAACCCACTATCTTGAAAAGTCAACCTGCCACTAAGGTATTACAGATATGTAGGAGTTATTTCTCTTTACATGATTATAAGCAGCCCCCTTTCCATGGCTTGAAACATTATTTTATCATCTATGTTATTTTCCAGCAAGATAATCAACTACTGTTTTGTTTTTCTTTTGGTTTTTGTCATAGGGTGCGTGCACTCGAGATACAGAGAGAAACGAGAGGGAAAGTGAGAAATCACACCCAGGGGGAATGGCCACGCCACAATTCCTTCTCCATTCTTCCCTCCTAGGATTTTGGGCATGTACACACATGTGCCTGGTGTGATTTTCTTTTTATTTTTTAAACATTACTTATTTAATTTTATTATTTATTTTCATCTTATCTTTTTTTTTTTTGAGAGAGAGATTTTTGTTATAGGGCACATGTGCTTGCTGGAGAGACAGAAGGAGACAGAGAGACAGAAAGTGAGAAAACACCTCCCAGGGGGGATGGCCACACTTCGATCTCTTCTCTTCCATTCTACTCTTGGGATCCTGGGCACTCATGCACATGCACTCACCTGGCCTGAGTTTTAAACTGCTGGTACTCAAATCACAGTTAACTACATGGGAGTCCAGCAATGTACCCATTTCGCCATCTGCTTGTCCCTTATTTATTTTTTTAATTTGACCAGAGAGAGAAAAAGAGATGGGGGAAAGTGAGAAAGCAAGCAGCCAGGTCCACGTCTTGAACCATAGTTGGACATGTGAAAGTCTAGCACCTTAACCACCATGCCATCTACTGGTCCACAATCAACTACTCTTACCAACAGTGACCTAGTGGGCTAGTAAACAGGGAAAAAAGGTGATACCATGTAAAAATTAGAAATGTTGGGACCAGCAGGTGGCGTGGTGGTTAAGGCGCTGGACACTCCCATAGGGCCTAGCACAGTTCAAGTCCTGGACTTGTTGGCTTGCTTTCTTACTTTCCTCTCTCCTCTCTCTGTGTCTCTCTCTGGTCAAATTAAACTGAATGAATGAATAAATAAATAAATCTTTAAAAAAATTAGAAATGTTGCTTTATTATAGAATACACTAAGTTAACTTTGAAATATCAAAGATAAGGATGATTATTTTGTTAGATACAAAGAAAAACATCTTTGAAAAGTTTACAAAGCATTTAAAAGTTATCTTTAACTTTCCTTTTTTTAAAAACCTATTAGGTTTGAGTAGGCTTACTTCTCTTCATGATACAATTCATATTGATGAATACATATTCATTTGCCTATTTAATAGATAATATTGAGGCTAAAACAGTTTTCCCTGGGTGATAACTCATTAATTTACCTGTGCAAAATCAGCAGCGAGTCGCATTTTCCCACCTTCACCAAGAGTTCTTATGAGACTGGCATTACGGATGAAAAGTTCGATTGCTCTTTGGGCAATAGCTTCAGTGTTGTCAAAGACAAAATCCAAGCACTCAAAGTGTTTAAAATAGTCATTCATAACTCTGGCAATAAAACCTTGTAGCTCCTTCATGTACAGAGAACAAGGAATATCAGGCTTTCCTGAGCTGGGTAATGACCTGTAAAAGAAAAAAGGCATTTTCAGTAGTACCAGTGTACTCTGATCTCCCCCCCGCCCCGGCTATTATTTCATTCCAGCACAGTTTTTCTCCTTAATAGTATAAAAGGCATCATTTATTTTTTGCTAAATGTTAAACAGCATAGAGCAATATTTAAATTTATTTTAAAGACTCTTCTCAGAAGCTAGGAGAATTAATTGAAAAAAATTTTAGAATCCATTTACCTAAAGATTATTAAGAATGAAACAGACAACCATCTGTCTTGGATGAATCATACAAGTGCCATATGCACTCTCTGGCCCCTTGAGGTCCCTCCCAGACTTACAACTCTGCATCCACTCAGTTTGCTTGGTAAGTGAATGCATCAATAACGGATCCTGAAATAGCATTTTTACACTTCGCAATGGCAGAAAATGCTGCCTTCCCCAAACAAATTCTTGGCAAAGACATCTCCACTCTTGCTCTATTTAAGCAGATCAGTCCAGTAACAGAATTCTGACTGTGGAACTGGTTATGTAACAATACACATGGTATGCAATTTCCCCCCCTCAAATGATGAGGTTTGGAAAAGCTTTAATTTGGATCAACAGATGATGCCAGCTGATGCTCCATGAACTACTATTTATAATTTATAAATGTTTATAATTGCCCTTTAAGGACTATATAAAAAGAATGTGAAATATTTATAGGAAGAAGAATTATACCAAAATCAGAAACCACCTGACATTGTCTAATAGATGAGATCATTGGCTACAGAATGCTGAATCTTCAAAAAGCAAGTGAAATGTTTTCATATTCTAAGAATGATGCAGAGAAATTGGTAACAGTCTAGATAAGAACAGATCTGACTAAAATGCCTAGAGCAGAAGAACGAGCAGAACTTAATTACCTTGAAATACAGGAATGGCCACAATAAATAGTATGCTAACCAGAGGTCCTCCACTTCCCGAAGCAGGTAAAATAGAGAAGGCAGGCTATGTTCCACCAGGAAGGGTTTGTACAGAAGTATAAGAAAGGACATCCTAGCAGTGGCAAGGCCATTGGGGAGTGCACGATAGAACATTTTTTTCTGACATCAGGAGGTGGAATGCCTCCAGCTTTGTTCTTTTTGCTCAAGAGTACCTTGGATATTCAGGGATTTTGTGGTTTCATATGAAGTACAGGACTACCTTTCTATTTCTGTGAAAAATGGCTCTGGAATTTTTGTAGGGACTGTACTGAATCTGGAGATTGCTTTGGGTAGAATGGACAATTGAACAATATTAATAAATCATGACATATTTTTCTGTCTTTCTATGCAAAAATGTGTCATGACTTTTCTGATGACCTAATAATTCTTCCAATCTGTGAATGTGAAGTATCTTCTAATTTATTTGTGTTTTCAATTTCTTAATTTCCTTCATGAGTGTTGTACAGTTTTATAGTGTACAGAACTTCCATTTCCTTGAAATTTATTTATTTATTTATTTATTTATTTATTTATGTAGGTAGGTAGGTAGGTAGGTTAAGTAGGTAGGTATAATTCTTTGGTTTATTGTAAATGGAATTGCTGTCCTGATTTCTTCTTTGGGTAGTTCATTCTTCCTGTATAAAAACACTAGTAGTGATTTTTTTTTTTTTTTTGAGAGGTTTTTGCTATAGGGCATGTGCACTCGCCAGACAGAGAAAGAGACAGAAAGAGAGAAATCACCCCCCAAGGGGGGATGGCCACGCCACAATCCCTTCTCCTTCATTTTCCTCTCGGGATCCTGGGCACGCACGCAAATGTTCCTGGCGTGAGTTTAAGCGACTGGGTCTGGGACTCAAACCGTGGTTGACTACATGGGAGTCCAGCGACATAGCCATTATGCTAACTTCTGGTCCCGGGACATAACTCTCTTGTAAGCTGAGAAGCATCGACACCTAATTTCTTTGAGGGTTTTTGTTTTAAAAGCATGTTGAATTTTGTCAAATGCATTTCCACATTTAATGAGATGCACATAGGATTTTTGTCCTTCACTCTAAATGTGATGTATTATTATTTTTTTAAAGAATTATTTTATTTAACTTTATTTATTATTATCATTATTATTTTCCAGTTTGATCAGAGAGAGACAGAGAGAGAGAGAGGAAGTGAGAAAGCAAGCCACCAGGTCTGAGACTTGAACCGTGGTCGGCCATGTGGGAGTCCAGAGCCTTTCACCACCATGCCACTTGCTGGCCCCAATGTGATGTATTATTGATTTGTATATGTTGACCCATCTTTCATTCCAGAGATAAAACCCAATTAATCATGGTGATTGATCCTTTTAATGTGCTGTTCAGTTTGGTTTGCTAGTATTTTGTTGAGAATTTCTGACTATTTTCATAGGAATATTGCCCTGTAATTTTCTTTCCGGTAGTGTCTTTGTCTGGCTCTCGTATCAAGGTAATTTTGGCTTTAGAAAAACATTTCAAAAGGTTTTTTGCTTGATTTTTAAGGAGACTTAGAAAAGGAATGGCATTAGTTCTTTTTTAAATGTCTGGTAGAATTCACTCATGACACCATCGGGTTTTGGACTTTTCTTTGTGGGAAACATTTTATTACCGATTCAATGTCCTTATTCCATTATTGGTCTGTTCAGATTGTCTGCTTCTTCTTGATTCATTATTAACAGGTTACATGCGTCTCAGAACCTCTGAACACTTTTACATAATGACTACATCTGTATACCTATTAACTGTGTACAAAAGTTCCCTTTTCTCCACATCCTCAAACATTTATCTTTTGTCTTTTTGATAACAGTCATTCTGAAGGGTATGATTTTTCTCTAGGTCATATAATTTGTTGGTATATAATAAGTTGTTCTTAGTAATCTTTTATGAACCTTTGTTTTAATGTCTCCTTTATCCATTTCTTTTTTTTTTTTTGGAGAGGTTTTTGCTATAGGGCGCGTGCGCTCGTCAGACAGACAGAGGCAGAAAGACAGAAAGCGAGAAACCACCTCCTAGGGGGGATGGCCATGCCACAATCCCTGCTCCTCGATTCTCCTCTCGGGATCTTGGGCACGCACGCACATGCGCCCAGTGTGAGTTTTAAGTCACCGGGTCTGGGACGCTAACCTCAGTCGACTACGTGGGAGTCCAGCGACATAGCCATTACGCTAACTGCTGGTCCCTCCTTTATCCATTTCTGATTTTGAGTTTTCTCTCTTTTTTTCTTAGTCAAAAGCTTGCTGATATTTGTGGGGTTTTTTTGGGGGGGCAGGGGGTTTGGAGAGGTTTTTGCCATAGGGTGCGTGAGCTAACCAGACAGACAGAGACAGAGAAACAAAAAGCGAGAAATCACCCCCTAGGAGGGATGGCCACACCGTAATCCCTTCTCCTCCGTTCTCCTCTCGGGATCTTGGGCACGCACACACATGCGCCCGGCGTGAGTTTTAAGCCACCGGGTCTGGGACGTGAACCGCAGTCAACTACATAGGAATCCAGCGACATAGCCATTACGCTAACTGCTGGTCCCAAAAGCTTGTTGATTTTTGAAAAAACTCCTTTTTTTTTTTTTTTCCTGCTGTTTTCCTGGTCTCTTATTTTATTTATTTCTGCTCTCGTCCTGTCATTTCCTCCCTTGTGCTAACTTGGGGCTTAGTTTGTTCTTTTTTATTTCTACTACTAGTTCCTTGAAGTATTTTGTTATTTATCTGTACTCTTTCTTGTTTTTTTGATATAAAAATTCATTACTATAAATTTCTCTTTTAGAATTGCTTTTACTGTATTCTGTAAGTTTTGATATGTTGTGTTTCCTTTTCAACTGGCTCCAGATATTTTTTGATTTCCTTTCTGATTTCTTCTGTGATTCTTTGGTTGTTCAGGACCTTGTTGTTTAACATCCACATATTTGTGAATATTCCAAGATTTCTCACATTTGAATCAATTAGCTACGCCAAGGAGACAATTACATTTTAAGTTTTGTCTAATTTGGAAAGAAACACATTGGTCATGCTAAATAAATTTCAAATACCAGAAAGTTGTACTGAGAATTACTTTTTAAATAGCAATTTTGTAACCATACTACATAGAATTTTGGCCTATAAAGTAAACCCGATTTATCTTTTCTCCCTAAAATAGGTACAGATAGCTTAGAAGGGCAGACATTCACGCTCATCTTTCCAATCATACCTGGGAGCTAGCCCTAATGTAAAGGTGATTCCTACTTTAATTTAATCCAACTTTACCTTATATTTCATATAAGACATATATATATATATAAAATGACACAACAGAATTATTAATAATAAGGTTCTCTAAAGTGGGCAAATTACTGCCATGGGAACAATACTTTAAAAAAAAAAAAAAAAAAAAAAAAAAAATTTTCTAGGGCAAGAAAGAAAAATGTTCTAGGGACCAGCAGTTAGCATAATGGCTATGTCGCTGGACTCCCATGTAGTCGACTGCAGTTCGCGTCCCGGATCCAGTGGCTTAAAACTCACACCAGGAGCGTGTGCGTGCGTGCCAAGATCCTGAGAGAAGAAATGGAAGAGAAGGGATTGCGGCGTGGCCATCCCCCCAGAGGGTGATTTCTCACTTGCTGTCTTTCTGTCTGTCTCTGTCTGTCTGGTGAGTGCACATGCCCTATAGCAAAAACACCTCTCCAAAAAAAAAGAAAAAAAAGAAAAATGTTCCAACTCCTATCTCCTATACTGCTTACACATGAAAAATGATTCTGAGTAGAATCTCAGATATCTGACGTATATCTACTAAGTTGAAATATAGTCACCAAAAGCCATCTGGGGAAAAAAATAAGAACAATGTTATGCCTTAAAATTATGCTTCATAACTCATTGCAACCTATCAGTTAAAGAACCAGTGTTGCTTACTAGTATTTAAACAAACTAATAAAAACATCTATTTGGGAAATCAATGTTCAGTTATTAACGTCTCATGTGTTACCTATAGCCATGCACGAGACAGAGCTTACCAATTAAATCACTAAGCTACATAACTATTCCCTTATTATTATTATTATTATTATTTAATTGCCAGATGCTGCATGTGTTAGCCAAGGAGAGACAGACAGACAGAAGAGGGAAATGGAGAAAGCACCCTCAATGGGGCATGGTCATGCTGCAATCCCTTCTATTTATCTATTCTGTCACTGTTTGGAACATGCATACACACATGCCAAGAGTGTTTTCGAGCTGCAAGGTTCTGGACTTGAACCATGCAGTCGGACATCTGGAGTCTGAGTCCTTTAATAACTAGGCCAGAAAGGCTGGTGCTAAGCATTCTTATATGATAAGTCTTTAAAAATTATCTTGTCATGATTTTGTTATTCGGAGACATTCAAGATTGCTCTAACTGGGACTTCAGATCACTTTTTTTTTTTTAATGCCAGAGAGCATGTGCCTGCACATGCACACAAGTGTGCCATATATAGAGAGGAGAAGGTACCTCCCCCACCCATGGGGTTTGATCATGCCACGGTCCTTCTTCCTCCAGGTCTCCATCCTGTCAGGAGCCTGGGTGCACACACTCACCATGATTTTTGCAGCCACCAGGACTGAGATTCAAACCTTAGCTGGCCAAGTGGGATCCAGCTTACACTGTGCAGTGCCTAAACACTGTGCTAAGGACCGGCCCTCAGATTACTTTGGAAGAAATGTAGTTTCCTCCCAATTAGTATTCAGCAGTTTTAGATCCCTATCTCCTATTGAATTCCTAATATAGCGTTTTTCGTAGAATTCACTTTCCCTTTTGTGTTTCGTATTACTATTCAAAATAGAGACTGGCCTTTGGATAAACATGATCTGAAAAATTAGACGCCAGTGATACAGCATTATTTTCCACCAATAGTTTTCATAGTGGCTGGAAGTTTAACAAAGCAGCTGTTCTTTTAAACAACATGCACATAAAGAGAACTAGGACAAGTCCAAAATAGTAACTATGTACAGACCTAGGAGTGTAAAACACAAATGTACATGCTACTGTTTGAATGTTTAGAGTTTCAGTCAAGTTTTAAAAGAAAATCACTCCAAGCATGTGCAAATAATTTTGTTTTCAAATTCTTCACAGACAGATTTCTAATTCTCTGAACTATACTTTATTCTATTTAAAAGGATTTCCATAAATGCTGCTTTAGTAACTATGATTATTATTCTCCAGATATATACGATACGGATGAGCAGTTCACAGATGAAACAGTGATGAAGTAAGACCGGGTGTTCATGGCTAGGTATGATATGACTAGATGTGATTGTCACAGAAACCTCAGAAGAGGTAGGGAAGATTCCTGTTGGAGTCAGTGGTTGGGCAGGAGATTGCCCTCAATACCAGAGCAGGATTCCAACTAGCACAGTGGGAGAGGCAGTACGTTTTATACAAGGAATACTATGACTATGCTGGAGGGTAATGAAGAGGCTGAAGTGGAGGTTGTTTGTGAAAAGAAAGGAAAAGATAAAATCAAAAAGGGAAGATACAAACTACCGAAGGCCCTCAAGTGACAAATGAGTCCCACAGACTCTTCTACACATCAGTAAGAAGAGAAAAATGATAAAAACAAGAGCTGAATATTTGTAATTTGTTAATGGGACTCACAAGGATGAAGTACAAGGCTGAAAGCCAAAGCCATCACAAAAGGAACAAGGCCCTAGATAACTGGGGCTTAGGGAATGGAAGTAGGAACAACAACAACAAAAAGGCAGATACGTTGGTGGCCAGAAGATGGCATGGTGATTGGGGTGCTAGACTCTCACATGGCCAACTGTGGTTTAAGTGCTGAACCTGGTGGCTTGCTTTCTCACTTTCTTTCTTTCTCTGTCTCTCTGTCTCTCTCTGTCTCTGGTGAGTGTATATGCCCTGTAGCAAATTGTAAAATAATAATAATGATAAATGAAATTAAATAAATAATTCTTTTTTAAAAAAGTTGTTACCCAGAAAAATCTTCCTGATGCATGGTGATGATTATGGCTTCTATTGCGTCTCCCACTGATGTCAGTAAGGGTTGCACAGCATTTCCCATAAGAGCATGAATTGTCTAAAAAGAAGGAAGAAAAAGAAGGACAAGGAAAATTAAAGAAAGCTAACACAAAGAAGTCTGAAATGTGAGAAACTGTGACGTTTTTTATAATATCGCAAATTCAGATTATGCAGTTAACAGAAATCTGCTCCTCTCCCTGGTTGGCGTCAGTAATGATCTTTAAAGCTTAAAATATATGGAACATGGCACTGAGAAACTTCAACTGCCCCACTCCTCTCATTTTTCAAAAGGTTCAGTGGTTAAATGAGCCCATGGAGAATGCAAGACATATGCCAAGAAGAGAGGTGTGGTCCCATTTATGAAGTGAAGATCAAATGAACACACTTAAAGTTTCTCAAAAGACTGAAGCAACATCCAAAATAATTCTTTAAAAATTGGAACAATGGGGGACTAGCAGGTGGCGTGGTGATTAAGGCACTGGACTCCCACATGATTGACCACAGTTCAAGTCCAAGACTCAGCAGCTTGAAACTCATGATGGGTGCGTGTGTGTGTGCATGCTCAAAATCCCCAGGGGAGAATGCAGGAGAAGGGATTGTAGTGTGGTCATCCCCCCGGGAGGTGATTTCTCACTTTTTGTTTATTTAGTGAACACACGCATCTTATAGAAAAGTCTTTCTTTCTCAAAAAAAGAAAAGAAAACAAAAGAAAAAAAAAACAGAAAAAAAAACTAAAAAAACCCCACAAAAATCCAACATTGTTTGCTTTTAAGAGTGAATAAAATAAACACATTGATGAGTCATACAGAGCAGAACCATTAGGTATTTGAAAAAGCATTAGGTTTCTGTTGACATTTCTACAACAGTGCCTCTCAACTGTTGGCAACTTTGCTCCCCAAGTAACATCAGATAGTATTTGGAGGTTTTGGTTTTTGTCTTTCTTTTTTTTTTTTTTCTAAGTTTTGCTATAAGGCATGTGCATTCTCCAGAAAGAGAGAGAGAAAATGAGAAATCACCTTTCCCAAGAGGGTGGCCACACCACAACCCCTTCTTTTCCAGTCTCCTCAGAATTTGAGCACATAAGCTCAGTGTAATTTTCAAGCTGCTGGGCCCAGGACTCAAACTGTACAGTTGGCCATGTGGGACCCAGTGCCTTGACCTTCATGCCACCTAATGGTCCTATTTGAGATAGTTTTCATTGTCATTACTAGGGAGAAAGAAGTTTGTTACTAGCAAAGTTCTAGTGGGTAAAGGATAGACATGTTGCTAAACATCCTACAGAATGCAGAAGAGCCCCTCTCCAATATCAAAGAATTATATAGCCTCAAATGTCAATAGTGCTATGGTTAAGAAACTGTTCTACATGGAGGTATAATTGTTGTTTAGTTTAGCCAAAACTCTGGGCCTTAATTATAAGATTTTTGTATGAAAATAATGACTCAGTAAATAAAATAAAAAATTTAAATATGCTTCAATAACGATTATATATAATGAAGATAGATGGCTTTGGATCATACAAATGATTAAAATCATTAAGAAAAGAAACAGAACCCTTCTTCATTAAATTCCTAAATGTCAACTGAAGCTCTTAATCTCTTATAAAAATAAATATGCTGTAGGGTCAGCCAAGTGGCACGGTGGTTAAGGCAGTTGGATTTCACATGGCCAACCTTGTAGTTTGAGTCCCAGATCTGGCAGTTTGAGAAACATGCCAGGTGCATGTGGCATGCATGCCCAAAATCTCAAAAGGAGAATGGAAGAGAGGGGATCGTGGTTTTGTCATCTCCCTTGGGATGCTTTCTAGCTTTCTCTATCTCCCTCTCTGCCTCCAGTAAGCACACACACCGTATAGCAAATTAAAACAAAACAAAACAAAACAAACAAAAAAAACAACACAAGTGCTTATAGGATTGAGTGTGTGTATATGTGTGTATATATATGTATGTATATAGCTCCTTGCATAAAGGAGCTAATAGTCTAGTAAAAACAGAGAAAAAGTTATAGTGAGAGATCTCCAATATATACTGAGGATCTAAAAAACAAAAGCTGTTGCCAGAGCTCAATTTCAAAGGAAAATAGGTAAGACTCAGGTGAAGAAGGGTGGGCCTAGGAGCACATCTGTTAAAAGGCGTAGGAACCTGGGCAAGTTGACACACCCAGGACACTGCAAAACACTCAGCACACACTGAGTCTAAGTGCCTGCATGTGTAAGAGAAAGAGAGACATCCAGAGATGTAGGTACTGGTACAGAAAGAAGTTGAGAATTTATCCTAAAGGAACCAGGAAACCAATGACGTGTTTTAAACAATGAAAGAATGTAATTAAAGGTTTGAATTTAGAGTGAAGCCATAGTGGACCACTGAGTAAGGCTGAGGCCACAGAGGAGGCCTGGGTTCAATTCCCAGAACAATCTGGTCAGGCCAGGTGTGGTGGTACACGCCTGTGATCGTAACTAACGGGGAGGCTGGGGCAGATCGTAATGGTGAGATCCTGACAAAAATATCTTTCTCTCTCTCTCCTCTCATCTATCTTCTCTTTCTCACTTAAAAAAGAAAGGTTCAGATTTAGAAAAAAAAATCAAAATAGTCTAGATAAATTTCAGAATTATCAGGCAAGAATCTCAGTGAGAAAAGACATAGAAGATCTAGATAGAACACACCAGGTTAATTCACCAAAAAAGACCATCTTCTAGGCCATAAAACAAGACCTAAGCACATACATGCAAAATACAAATACATATAAACAAAGAAAACACATACCATAAAATAAGAGTCAATTAATTTAAAAGGACTAAAATCATAGTGTGTTGTTTGATAACAGCATTAAACTAGAAATCAAGAACAATATGATATATATGAAAAATAAAAATAACGATAAGTTTTAAAAACACACTTCTAAATAATCCATGACTCAGAGGAGAAACAAGAAAATATTTCAAACTGAACGAAGATCAAAGTACAATATATCAAAACTACAGTGCTTAGAAAGAAATGTACAACCTTAAATGTTTATTTTTTGAGGATAAAAGGGCTAAAACCAATGATAGAGGGTCCCAAAAAATCTTTTAAAAAAGTAAAGAAAACCAAATAGAAAAAAAAAGGAAATAAAGGCCAAGTCCTGTGGCCTAGTGGATAAGGAAGCCAGATTCCACATGGCTGACTGTGGGCTTGAATCCTGGCCACACAGCTTGAAACACACACCAGGCATATGTGTGAGGCATATGTGTGTGTCTGCCCCAAATCCTGATAGGATGGAGAAGTGAGCAGAAGGGATTGTGGTGTGACCACACCCCTCTAAGGGGTGTTTTCTTCATCTGTCATTATCTTTCTCTGGTTAGTGCATGTGACTTATGGCAATTATTTAAAAATAAATAAATAAATAAAGGAAATTAAAAAAAGATAAAATCCTTTCAGGATTTTGAGCATGCACGCACATATGCCTGGCATGGTTTTCAAACTGCTGGGTCCAGGACTTTTTTTTTTTTTTTTTTTTTGAGGGAGATTTTTACTG